GGGGACCAGATGGCTTTGAAGCCGCAGTTCAGGCTAGCTGCTTGCAGGTAGGATTTGCCCACGAGGGCAGGCAGGACCTGGGCGATGGCCATGGGCTGGTGGTAGTCATGGCTGTACACCACAGAGAAGGCCTGGGAGCAGTTCCACTCCCGCGGGGAGTAGAAATTCCTCGTGGCCCCCAGCGCCTGCGGAGGAGGCAGGAGGCGGCATGAGCAGCCCTGGGAGCAGGACCGGGCGGCCGCAGCGCCGCAGCCCTCCCCGTACCTGCAGGGCCAGCCCCATGCTGTAGATGTTCCCGATCATGCCACCATTCTCCTCCTGCTCGTTGAGGAAGCCGTTGGTCACCGTCGACAGTGCCTCCTGGAGCAGGTCCTTCACATCATGGAGGTCCGTCCGGTTGTACGTGCACGCCAGTGCCAGCGCCGCCACGGCACGGGTGTCTGCGAGATCCTGGCGTCACTGCCAAGCCCGCTGGGGCAGAGCCGTGGGGAACGGGGCTTTGCCAGCGGAGGGGACACAGCGGGGCCAGCGGGGTCCCTTACCCACGGAGAGGTTGTTTGTGCGGCTCAGAACTTTCTGGGCCGGGACCAGGGATGCCACTTGTTAGCCACTCGTCCCTGTCAGGCACAGGCCCAGGGCGTCCAGGCTCAAGCTGTACAGGGTGGTCTTTGGGACGCCCATCGCCTCTGCAAAGCCAAGTGGGGCGAGATGACGGGGGGCCGAGGAGGGAGACGCCTCCCCCGGCACCTCGGGTCCTCCCTCCCCTCCCGGCGTACCCAGGCTGGCCATCTCCTCGTCCGTTTTCTGCTGCAGGATGCGGAGCAGGTTGACCGTGCGCCCCAGAGCCTGGACGTGCTGGGGCTTCTGGCAGGAGGAGAGGAGGGCGAGCACGTACAGAGCCACCTCTCCTGAGGACATGTCTGCGGGGACAAGAGAGCAGCCAGGGCGTGCGGGAGGCTGGGACCTGACATCCCTGTCCCCAGCCAGGGCGGTGGCAGCTGGTGGTGCCAAGCCTGAGGTACCGGCTCCGCTGGGACTGGGTGCCACGGCAGGGGTGCACCCCCCCACC